TCAGACACAGATGTTTGCAATAGAAAACTTTCACTCTGCACTCTTCTGTTTTTAATCTGCTTGTGACAGGAAACACAGATGCAAAATGAATGTAAAGAACACAGTCACCATAACTGATGATAATACAAAAGAGCATGTAGGACAGATGTTTTTTTTCCCAGCATTGTAAGGAAAAAAGGTTTACATACTTTAGAAGATGCTAGGTGTTTTTATTTCTGATTGGTTATCTTTACAGTGTTTTTTCATGGACTTCACAGGATATAGTTCTCCACAATACTATGACCCTATCCATAGTTTCAGCCTGAAAAAGCTAACACTTCTTCATTCTCTCTGCCAGATCCTCAAAGGTTTCAAATGATTATGCTGCCAAAGCTCCTCTCAACAGACACAGGGATTAAAATGGTGAGATTCTTCCATGGCATTTGTAAAATGAAACAGGTGTAGAGATAATTGATTCATCCTCTTAAACCAGTCCTGCTAACCTGCAGGCCCTCCAAGATGTCAAAAATGTGCTTTCAAACTATGCCAATACGTATGTCTCAAATGATGTTCTTTAGCTGTGGAAATGTGAAGGGTTTGACCAGACTCTTTCCTATACTTTCTGGTTGATTTTCCCAACTTCTCCTCTTACTTTGCATTCTTCAGATTCTAGCCTATCTTGTCTGCTTTGTGTTTTCTACTTTGCCTAAATCTTTTTTTTTTTTCAGAATTATTTTTGCCTTTCTCTCTTTTTTTTTTCCATTCAGCTAGTCCCTTTCTAATGGCTCCTTTATTTAAAAGAGAAGTAAAAGTATTTACATAGCAATTTCTGCCAATACGTTTGGCAGCATTTATATGTTGTTATTAAACAACATTTATCATGTTGTGCATAAATACACTGTTTAATCTGTGTCCATTTTGACCATTTAGACTATAAGCTATTTGGAGCAAGGCCTGTCTCCTAGTGCTGCTTGAACAATGCCTAGCACAAAGGAATCCCACTTTAGACCATATCTGAGCAATACTGTAGCAAACAACAATTGTAATAATAATTATCCCTCCTCCAAGCTACATTAAAAGAGTAAGATCAAACACCCAGAAGTTGAGAAATGACAGCATAAAGTTTGAGAAATATTTTTAATTAATTGCCCTTTCCTCTTCTGTGGATACATTATCTCTGATTATAAAATTGCATACCATTTTTTCTATCCTTTTTCTATACCATTCTATCATAAACCCTCTGCTGAAAAGTATTTATTTCCTTCTGTATGTTTCTTTGTTATCTTTTATCAGATCATCTGAATTATTCACGAGCATTAGTGAAATTATTTTGATAATGCTGATTTGAATAGCTATTACTATATTTTAAAGATGGAAGCTAAAATACAAAGATATTAAGCATAAAATATAAAATACTCATTAATTTTATATGCTCTACAATACAGTTCCAGTTTTCAGCCTTTTTTATGTTTACCCTGTTTTTATGTTTATGTTCAAAGCACAATAGCAAAGATTGAGCTTTTATCTGGAAGTACATGGAATTTCTCCAAATCTACTCTAACTTCTCAGATTAGGAAGATACAATCTTTTAGTACATATAATCAGACTGGCATCTCACAAGAACTTTGTGATAGTGCAAGTAATAAATCAGGTTTTCAAAATTTACTCAGCTTTTCTAACCATTCTTTCTTTTCACAAAATGCTGCCACAGCCATCAAACGGCCTTCTAATTTCCACGAGCAGTGAGGGATGGAAGACTGTGAACAACAACCCATTACATACCCCTAATTCTAAGCATCCTGTTCATACTGTAGATTAAGTAAGGGTGAGTCCCATGTAAAGTACTGCCATCTAAAAGCTTTATGAGAATTTAAGTTCTGTGGCCTGTAGCCCAGTAATGGAGGTCCCTCCTTCCGGATAAAGAATCCCACATTTGGGGGTTCTGCTCTACTGGGATGTGGATACGTCTTTCCTTAAATCATTAATGGTTATTTTCAGCAGCTTTCTTCTATTTTTTTTTTCAATATCCTTTCCTAAACATTTACACCCAAAGTCAAATCAGTACTTGCTGATTGATATCCCAGTCACTCCTCCCCACCCCAGGACTCAGAAACTACTTAATTCAGCATTTCAGTCGCAGGATTGTCATAGGAAATACAGTTGCATGAGTTGAAATAAGAGTCGTCCAACACAAATTCTAGATCTTTTGCTAAATCACTGCTTCTCAGGAGGGAGCCACTTGCCTGGCAGATATGGCCTACAACTATCATTTCTAAACCAACAACTTTGGGCTACAGCAACTTGGGGTAACACAGGTAAGGGAAAAGTGTCTAGGAATGATTACTTAGAGAGGCCAGAAGATTCCTGGCAGCACTGGGAGATGTCAGAGACCAGTAAATATTAGCAGGTTATCTTTCACCTATCCTAACTTGGGACTTCTCTGAGAACGCCACCCTCGTTTCCAGGATTCTCAGGCCAATCTAGTCCTATTATCTTCCTCCCTCAAGTTCACATCATTGCCTCTCAGTGCAGTGAGACTGAGGAAATCCTGCTGCTTCTTCTCCCGCTAGATTTATGTTACAGTAGTGGGCATAGTGTTTTAAGGAGTTCTGGTAAACTAGTATGTGGAAATTTTTGTTCAGCTTGAGTTTGGGTTCAAAAAAGACTCCGAAGTAATAACTAAGGCTTAGTGCTGGTTAAAGAAAAAAATAATAACATATTGAACTCAATTTTTAGTTCATTTTAATTTTTAAAGATATTTTGTTTTACAAGATCAATTCTTAGCATGATGTGAATGCTTGCTAAGTTTTTGGCGTTATTTACAACTATCAATATTTCTGTCAAGGGCTTATTTAGAGAAGTCATTAAATATCTATTTCCAAATTATTGGTAACAGTACTGAGTTGGGCCAAGCACAAATTACTGCAGAAGTCTGCTGAGAACTCGCCCAGTTCAAATTTAACAAATACTTTTGGAGAGCTGCCAGCTGGTCAGCCCTTAGTCCATTTACTACACGCTTTTCTCTATGTTTACTTAGAATTCTCTATGTTACTAAGCCAAAGATATCACAAAAATCTAAGCAGTATTGCTTTTATACTGTTATATTTCTTAATTCAGATTTTAATAGCATCAAAAATTAATGTTTTTTTAAGAAAACTACTTCATGCATTCTTTTCAAGTAGCATTACCTATACCTTCTTTTCTTGTTATCCCTGCATAGGTTTTTTTCCTCATCATCTTGCCTGAAACCAGTGTCTAACTTACTGATTTATGTTAACAGTAAACAACATTACTTATACTTTGATGCTTTGAAGATTTTACCTTGGTAATTACAGTCTGGAAAATAATTTGCTTTTAAATACGTCATAACTGAAAAACTGTCTTTGTATCTCCTTTTCCTAACAACTATTTGAAATGTAGCTTATATCCCATTTGCCTTCTCAGCCTTCCCTTCATTGCATTAGTTCAAGACGACCTTATCTGCTCCAATTACTCTTCAAGCAAGAAACATTCTAATTGGGATAGGGGCTAATAGGTACATGCACCCCTCACATCACCTGGTATGCCACCCCATGCTCCACTCAAATTACATCTTCATTCTCACATTAGTGGAGCAACCACAGGCTCATGTCTAGTAATTTCTGCTTGTCTTGGTCTTAAGACTGAAAATCTCAAAGGAAGTCACTCAGATTTTCCCCCTTTTCAGCCTCTTCCTTATAATTCAAGCAGCCTCACGTGGTTTTTTGCCTCATTATACAGCTGGCACATTGTTACTGAAACACAGAACTTCATAAAAAATTCAGCCTTAGATGGACACCATGATGGAAGTTTTTAGCCCAAATTAATAACAATGCCAGTAACAATATTTATAGTGATGATGTAAATGTTAGAAAAAAATTGTGTGTGCAAAGTAGCCTTTTTAGAATTTGTATTGTGTAGCCTAGGGAGCTAAATGTAGATTAGGCTCCAGTGTACTAGGCACTGTAAATATACAGCATTTTAAAATGTAAAAATATTACTAACCAATTCACCAAAGTGAAAATAATTAAATAGCTCCATAAATTTTGAGTGTTTTTAGCTATTAAAATTAGGTTTGGATTTTACAGTTAGGAACATTTAATGGTAATGTTCTCAGGAACAGAGTTTATATTAATCTTGCTCAGCACCAAGTTGCCTACTGGGGTGAATCACCAATACACTGTTTACTGTCACTAACACTGCCTCTTCTTTTCTGACTACTCTTTTCAGATTCCACAAATAATACATTAAGACTCCCCCACTCACTGCCCTAGATGTTTCCAACCCTACATATGAAACACAGATTAAAACATCTGAAAAATTCTAACTAATATTCTGTGGCTTCCCATCATAGGAGTTTCATTTATGGCTGGATAGAAGCCCAGAATCCTCCCTCAGAGACCAGGCAGGAAAGCTTGAGATACAAACTCTTCGAGAACATGTAATTTTTCCCCCTAGTTCAGTGTTAACTGTTTGCTTTGGTTCTGTGTCTGGGTGCAGTGAAAGGGGTACACACACAGAGGCACACTAGACTTGGGGAAATGGGGGCAGATTGCTGCGGGATGGGTTGAAGCTGAAAGCTGTTTGAAATCTTTTCAAGTAAAATGGGGCTTTATGTAGACCACCAAAGGGAGCGAGTTCAGGCAAAAAGGAACGCTTCTGCAGAAATTAACTTTTGGTGGTTTGGTGAGGAAGAATAGACGAGATGGGGAGGATTCGTAGGCAAGGCCAAAGCACCAGAGCATGGCGCAGGGGTCAGTGCCCCTGACGGGACTGCGAGGCTTTGGAGCTTTAACAGGGAGCCGTGACCTCCGAGAGAGGACGCAGCCTCAGGCAGAGACTATGGGAAGAAGCGTGAGGAAAACCCTCTGGCAGTTTGCGCGGGGCCGAGGCAGCCGCTGAGGCAGCGGCCCCGCCCGTGACGCACCGCCGGCGCTCTCCCGTCACGTGATGCGCCCTCCTACCTGCGCGCATGCGCGGGCTCTTCTGGGCTGCCATCCTCATTCCCTTCCCCTGGCCCCTCTCCACCTTTTCCATGGCGACACCGGGTGGTGTGATCCGCGCCCTGCACCGCGGGACCATCGGCCAGGTAACGGAGCCGGGGCGCTTCCCCGCTCCCGAGGGCATCTTCCCCGCTCCCTCCGGCCCGGCCTGCGCTCCGCACTGCGAGCAAGGCGGCCCCTGGGGCGCCGCCGCGCATGCGCGGTAGCGGCAGCGGCAGGGGGGGGGCGGGCCCCCCCGCCCCCCCGGAGTCCTAGTGGCCCCGGGCCGAGATCTGTGCCGGGAAAGGGCGGGGAGCGCTCTCCTGGTTCGGGGAAATCCCGTTGTTGAAGCACTGCAGTATCACTAGACGTTATTATAGGTTTCAGCATTGGTTTCTTCTTTTCCACTTTACCGCAGAGCTTTGTCTTCTAATTTTACATTTGTCTAAAAGCTGTGAACTCTTGTTTGCTGCGTGTAATTCTGTACCAGAAAATCTGCTAGAGGATCTATTTCAAGTCTGCATATTGGTACTTTCACAACTTTGACAGGTTGTAATAGCGGTTGAAATTTGTTTCATTCATTTGTGACCGTAAAGTCACAAATGGCCATCTCTTATTCTATTTTGAAATGGAAATAGAAGCAATAACTTGCATTGACCATACTTGGGAAGATTCCCTTGAGCAATCAACTAAGCTAGCTAGCATTTTTATTCAGTGAGCATGTATTTGTAGCTGTCCTCCTCCTCGTTTCTATCCATGAGTGATTTGCCATACATTTTGAATTTTTATGCAACTTGTAGTATGGCCGTTATTACAATGAGGGGTAGAAGATGTTTCATGTGATGAGAATAACACTATTTTTCAGGGAAGCCTTGCTCACTTTCATATTTCACCCAAATCCTAGGAGGTGTGCTGGATTGTTGTAACAGAACACTTTATCCAGAATTGTTTTCAGGGCATGTGAGTCTCATTTTTTGGAGAGAAATAGGAAGTAGAAGATCAAAGATAACTTCTAAATTCTCAGTGTTATGCCTGCCATATGACCTTGCAGTAGCTTAATTCTAGCTTTTCTGCACCTGAAAGCTGGAGTTTTTGTCCCTGAGAATTCCAGCCTAAAAATACACTAATTCATGTAAAGTTTGTGTAATTAATTAGCAAATCTTGATAAACTACAAGCTGCAGAACTGCTAGAATTGTTTCAGAACTGGAGTTTTTAACCTTAAACTTACAAGTACCTAAATCTTCCTAGGTTTAGATCACTTCAGATTTTGAATAGTGCCTCTGTCCCTTTAATATTTTTGGCCTAGCAGATAACATGTGTGTCTCGCAAAGATGCCTCTAAATTACTTTCTTTAAATACTCTTTTTTGTTTTGTTTTGTTTTTGTTTTTTTGTATACAGTTATCTTTCCTGCTGTGCATGGTAAGTCTTTGGGATCTGTTCAGTATCCTTTTAGGACTCCAGATACTCTCTTGGCTTCATTCCTCTAGCAAAGGCTTCTGTTTTATTTAGGTCAGGAGAGGAGTTTGTTTTGAGTGGACTTGGTCCCATTTCATCTTTGTATTTTGTTTGGCATGCATTTCCTTGCCAGTTTGGATCACCCATCAAATCAAGACTACTTATCAGTCACCTTTGTCACTTTGGTTAATATTACCTTAAGTCCTTTGGATGTAACAGAAATTTGAGAATATACTTCCTTGATATTATTCTTTAATTGTTTTAATTAAAAAAAAAGAGGCCCAGCATCAGTATTATGTAACACCATATCACCAATTGTTTTTTAAATTTTCTCTGATTTTATAGATTTACAAATCTGATGTGCTGTGGACTTTTGTTGCTTTGCTCTCAGTTTAGGTGCCCGCTTATGGCTATTTTGAAATAATTGCACTGTTAAGAATAAAATGATGATTTCTGAATTTTTGCTGTTCCTGCAGACATACTGCATGTTTATCATGAGGTTCAACAAGGACAAGTGTGGAATCCTGCACCTGGGGAAGAATAATCTCAGGCACCAGTACAGATTAAGGGTTGATCTGCTGGAAAGCAGTTCCACAGAGAGGGATTTGGGAGTCCTGGTTGACAACAAGTTACCCATGAGTCAGCAAGGTGCCCTCATGGCCAAGAAGGCCAATGGGATCCTGGCCTGCGTCAGGAGGAGTTTTGCCAGCAGGTCAAGGGAGGGGAACTTGCCCCTCTACTCAGCTCTGGTGAAGCCACACCTGGAGTATTGGGTGCAGTTCTGAGCTACCCAGCACAAGAGGGACATGGAGCTTCTGGAGAGGGTCCAGCGTAGAGCAACAAAGATGATTAAGGGACTGGAGCATCTATCGTATGAGAACGGACTAAGTGAGCTGGGCGTGTTTAGTCTGGAGAAGAGAAGATTGAGAGGAGATATGATCAATATGTATAAGCACCTGAGGGGAAAATGTAGAGAGAATGAATACAGGCTCTTCTGGATGGTGGTCAGTGACAGGACAAGGGGTAATGAGTACAAGCTGAAATACAGGAAGTTCCATTTCCATGTGAGGAAGAACTGCTTTACTGTGGGGGTGACCAGAGAGGTTGTGGAGTCTCCTTCTCCGGAGATCTGGAGATCTTCAAAACCCGCCTGGATGCCACCCTGTGCCATGTGCTCTAGGTGTCCCTGCTGGAGTAGGGGTGTTGGACTAGATGATCTCTGGAGGTCCCTTCCAACCTTAACCATTCTGTGATTCTGTGATTTATTATATGCTTATGAGGAATTGTAAAACTTCAGCCTGAAAATGTGTCCAAGCTTAAGCAGTAAATGTCCACTGACGCCCTTGAAGCTGTGGTGTTTACAATGCTGCCCTGTGACTTGATATGACAAGATTCAGTTTCTATGATTTCAGATGTGTTTTATTTGAGCATAGTTTAGCATGCTGGATTTGTCATGCTGTGGAAAGATCTCTCAGCTTTATATTGTGCATGTTTCTAGCCTACAACTGAAATATGTAGTCATACATGGTTAAAAAGAAAACAACATTTTATTGGAGAGATTGATCTATATTTTGAGGATTTGACTTTTCAGAGCTTATTTTCAAGTTTTTTGATCTGGATGAGGCATTGGGTGCACCCTCAGCAAGTTTGCAGACAACACCAAGCTGGAAAGAAGAGTTGATCTGCTTGAGGGTAGGAAGGCTCTGCAGAAGGATCAGGACAGCCTGGATTGATGGCCTGGGACCAACCGTATGAGGTTCAACAAGCCCAAGTGCTGTCTTCCACTTCAGTCATAACAGCTCCATGCAGCAGTGCAGATGTGGAGCAGAGTGACTCAAGAGTTGAGCAACAGAAAAGGATCTGGCGGTGCTAGTTGAGAGGTGGCTGAACATGAGCCAGCAGTGTGCCCAGGTGGCCAAGAAGGCCAATGGCCTCCTGGCTTGCATCAGGAACAGTGTAGCCAGCAGGACCAGGGAAGTGGTCATTCCACTGTACTCCGTGCTGCTGAGGCTGCACCTCCAATACTGTGTTCAGTTTTGGCCCCCTCACTACAAGAAAGACATGGAGGTGCCGGAGTGTGCCCAAGGAAGGGTAGTAAAGCTGGTGAAAGGGCTGGAGCACAAACTTTAAATATTAGGAAAAATTTCTATGTGGAAAGGGTTGTGGAGCATTGGAACAGGCTACCCAGGGAAGCATGGAGTCACCATCCCAGGCAGTGTACAGGAAACGTGTAGCGGCACTTAGGAACATGGTTTAGCAGACACAGTGATGATGGATTTACAATTGGGCTTAATGATCTTGAAGATCTTTTTTAACCATAAGGATTCTGTGATTCTATGATTGTAGTACTTTTCAGTGGTCTCTAAGCCAAAGTTATGGTGACTTATTTTATCATATTTGTTTCTTTGATAGGACACCCTTAAAAATAGCCATTAACTGTACTCAAAGGGATTATTGATTAAAATTTTGAGAATTCTAGGTATTGCATATCTTGGCAGTGGGAAAACATAATCGGTCAGGTTTATGGCATGATAAAATACGAAACAATAGAGGATAAGTCATGTCAGCAAAGCTCTAGACTGTGTTGCTATCGGTGTAAATGTCCAGTTATATCTGGAAACTTACTGAATCTGGCCCCAGATTTTGTATTAGTCATTAAGTTCCATAGGTTAACTATTACACAAATATCTTCATTTGATAATATCTCTATCTCACAGTTGGAATGTATATGCCAAATAACTGAAGACCAAGAGAGATGGCCACTGGTGGACTTCTAGCTCCCATAGGCTTTATTTTCTCTAATTTCAGATCTTTCTTCCTAGCTGTAACAACTGCTGCCGGAAAAATCTGGGGAAGTGATTGAGATAAAGATAGGGACTGTATGTGTATAGGTGAGTAGGAGAGGAAATCTTACTTACCAGCAGTAGTGCCAGTGCTTGTCACTAAGTGCTGAGCATTTTTGTCCTCCAGTAGCGAAGCAATTAACACTGTTGCAGTCATTGTAATAATATTGTAACATCTGTTCCTGTTCTTAGAGCTGTTCTTCCAGAGAGCATCTTTTGATGGAAATATGGACCTCGTCCTCTCTTTTAACTGCCCATTCTCCTACTTTTGCCTTCTGTTTCTGATGGGTAAGCATTTCCTGGCCTTTGTACTTGATCTAGTACAATGGCGGTATTGTAGTAGCAACTGCAAAGCTTTACGTTTTGATGCTCTACAGTCTCCATCTTTGTCCGCTTTTACAGGAGTCTGCTTTATCGGAAATGAATTCTCTTTTGGCCTTGCATGATGTAGAACTGTATCTTCCAGGCAGAAGTGTGGGTTTTGTTTTTTTATACTTTTTAAATACAAAAAACTTGTATTTCCCCTATGGTGCTAGTGTTTGGCCTTTATTTTGGACTTGATGTAGTGAAATTCAGGGCAGTGACTCCTGCAGGCAGTGTTCAGGTAAAGCAGAGAAAAGATTAGCTTGAGACCCCCAGTCCTAAGGAAAAGATCCCTGCTGAATATTTGCTCAGGACCATTGCAAGCACAGGATTTTCTTATCTGAGGAATCTTGAATTAGAACCAGCATTCTGTCAGTCTTAGCAGCTCATTTAGAAGTGTGCTTGTTATTTACTGTAGTTAATAGCTGAAAAGAAAAAAAAAAA